AGAGCATGGAGAACGTGCATTTGGCCAGCATGATTATCTTTAAGGCATTCTGATAGTCCACCCTTAGCAAAAATACTCCAAACATCCCTTTCACGTGACAGCAATTCAGAAGCTGAAGATGAAGGCTTAAAAAATTCCTTTTGCGTAAGAATATTACAAGTATATGGGTAGAACAAATAAAAGTTCTAAATGGTTTAAAGTGCAATTTATTAATAATTAATCAATTAACCAACCGAGGGAGTGGCAACAGCCGTGTTGCAACCAGCAAGCGTCGCTTGGTTGTAAACTCGATTGTACAACGCAGACATAAGACTAGTAATGAATTCCTCCGAACAACGCTCTGCCTGAGATTGATGTCGACTAAGAAAGCTAGACAGGAGGGAGCTGAGGTGAGATTGATCAATGACATTAGCTTCGGAAGGGACATCAGCACAAGCAAGAAGGCGTGAAAGTTCACTAGTTATACGCAAGCCGGGTAGCAGAAAATCCAAGTCACGCTCCTCTAGCACGTCCAACATTTTTTCAGGTACATGACTCCCGACTGAAAATTAATAACGCGTAGAGAAAGCCATAAGGACATAAAATCAGAGGCAATTTGAATAATATAATGCCATTTTCGGAAACAATACTAATGGAATTTAGAGGCAAGGATAAAAAGTCATGAATTACACACGCTCGTAAGTCACTGATAAGCAGCAAGGTAAAAGCCCTAAACTGCTACTGATCATGAGTAGATGTTCGACTCACCTGGCATCATCTTATCCATCTCCACACCACTCTCGCGGAACATATGCACAAGGAGGCGCTGCCTATGTCCTAAGAATCGATGTCGTTTTATACAGCCACTCTCCTGATCCGATTTGCCATCCGCTTCAACTAGAGCCTCTTCCACTTCATCCGCACAGACAGCCTCTTCAGTAGCTAAACTGGCCAGTTGTTGAAGAGCCAACAAGAAAAGTGGATGTTGCCGGCCACCGATAAGCGGAGCTGCCAAATCACTCAGCAACATGTGCCGACCCCAGATAAGAAAAGCAACCGTAGTAGCCAAGTTCGATTTGGAATAGGCACGATTAGATAGGCCAGTCCCATTATTTCCAGAAGAGATTGAGGTTGTCATAGGTACCGACGAGTTAGCCGAGGTAGAAGCTGATGAAGCGGAGAGCTCATTTATTGTTAGAGTCCAAGCTGTACCGAGAGCTGATTGTAGTTGCATAGCTAAATTTGTCTTGCTGTTTGAGGTAGCGCTGCATCGCTTGCCATGTCTAGTAGGACCTGTGACAAGACTGTTGACGCCCCAGGTCAGGGCAGGTCCAAAGCTGCCAGCACTAATAGAAACTGCAGAGCCATGAGGCGATGAAACGCCGCTCTGTGGCTCACATATGGCAGAAAGAGTCGGAGAAAGGCGAGGAATAGCAGACAAAATTTCCACTGAAGGTAAACAGGGGGACGAGTAAATGTACATTGAAGTGATATAAATATCGTGAGCAAATGAGAGAAGGGTAAAAGGTGAA